TGCTGAAGGAACATTTCCAGTCCATTGTTTCTGCAAAGAGCAGGGATAACAAACGTGGTTTGAATGGTGGAACAGCAGAGCAGGGTAGATCAAAACTAGAGCTTGAAATCAGATCTAAAGGCAGACCTGCACTGTCATCTTATTTCTGCCTCTTTTGAAATCAGGTTAACCATTAAACAGTTAAACAAAGCTAGTGAGGACAGCTTCAGCGTAGGGATTACATTTAAAAGCTTTACTGGTGGTGCGAGTCTGGAGTATTATAATGAACTTATGTTGATACGACAGTTATTTTGTGAGTCAAGAATCATATCTCATCACATACACAGAGATGAATAACCCTAGCTTCACCTGTGTGTAAGTTAAAGTGTATGATTGTGTCCTGGCCAGTGGACGAGCAGCACTTCTCTCTTCAGCCTCTGAAAGTTTGTATTTACTATCATCCTGATGAAATCTACAATCAACTGGGAGATAAACCTTTGGGCATATCTGTGAGGGACTTTCTCAACTGGGATGATTGAGTTGCAGAAACACATACTGAGTTTAGGTGGTATCTTTTCATAATCTCAAGTCTTAGACTTGGTATAATGGTGCCTGCATTCATTGACCTTTGCTGCATTGCTGCTGATGAAATGTGGCCAAGTGTCTCAAGCTTCTGCCACTGTGATACCCTTTCTTAACTTGGATGCAAAATAAACTCTTCCTTATATTGTTTTAGCCAGGGTTGTGTTACAACAATGAAACAAGTAAATACAACATCCTTTGGGATTCTGTCTCATGTCATTGTTTTACAGACTCTGGTTATTCTCCCTTTGATTAGATTACCAAACCCTACTGAAAAATTGAGACTGCAAGATGGGATGAATCCATCTAAAAAAAAAATGGTTGTTTACATCTATTTCAGAGCATCTTACTCTTCTTCAAAGACTTTAGGCTGTAACTACTATGCTATAATTAAATTGCATTAATACCTAAGTTTGAAATAAAATGCATGGTAACAACTACAAAGCTATTTGTACCAATCTAATAAAATTCTCAGAATCCATGTGTTAGTGACATTAATATTCCATTTACTTGAGAGTATAGTATTAATTCTGTAATAAAGAGTAGAACTAGCAAAAGTGCAAACAGAAGAAACTCTAAGTATCAAAATTTGTAGATGAAATTCATCAAGACTCCCAAGAAAGCCTCTGTATCATATAGGTTAGGCCTGATTATTATGCAGCAATGTTTCTTAACATTAATATGTATATAATTAAAAATAAAAATAAAACTTTCATCACATTTCTAAAGAGCAGTCACATTTGGTGTGCCAATGTCCCCTAGAAATGCATCCTACATGATGCTCACAGTCAGATGGTGAAACTTTGGGGTGGTGACTGTGTCATGAAGACAGAGTCCTCAATATTGAGATTAATGTCCTTATATAAAAGACTGTAGAGGAAAACTTGCACAGTCTAGCAGGTGAGGACACTGTAAGAAGTGTATGTGACTCAGGAATCATGTGCTGATACTTGGCCTTTTGGATTCTCCTAGGAGAACAGGAGAAAAAAAAAGTGTTGTCATTTAAAAGTCTTCCTATTTCTGATATTTTGTTCAATAGCATTCTGAACAGACAAGAGAAGAATTATCTTCAGAGCTTTTCTTCCTAATCCCACTTAATTTCCACATCATTTTCCCAAGGGCTTAAAGTATGGAAAGAGAGAGAGAGAGAGAGAGACAGAGACACACAGAGAGAGACAGAGAGAGAAAGAGAGAGAAGGAAAAATATGTTTTCTGGACCCAAGAATCATTTTCTTATCAAATACAATGAGAAAGGACATTGTACTGAGATAATCTAACAATCCTTAGATCTCAAGCCACAATTTTTTTTCTTTGTGTATTTGTCTTGTTTTGCTGTTATGTTTTAGCTGAGGAGTCCTATGTATCACCTACTCTCAAGAACCTAGACGGGTAGAGCATCGACTTTCCAAACAAATGGAAGCACCATAATCTTCTGTCTGGACTCAAATTTTATACTGTCTTATGTTTCATTGTCAAAAGAAAACATGTTTTTCTTCACCTCCCCATTGACACTTGGAGAGTACTTGTTACCCTCTATATTATCACACGTTTCCACCTCCTGCAGACATCTTTGCTTTTGGAAACTAATACATAAATCTGCAGTAGCTAACTGAGTGATTTCAAATGAATGACCAACATATGTTTCTGTTTTGGATTGTACAGTGTCTCCCCCAAATCAAATCCACTAATAACTTCGAAATAATGCCATTTAAAGGTGTACTTTTAGTTCAATCAGCTTGACCTCATATTAGATTCTGATGAGCCATAAGGCAGTAATCACAGAATATAGAAGTTTTGATGCAGAGAAACAGAAATCACAAAGACGAGTAAATAATATGAAGATGTGGCAAGACTGGCTCTAAGCTGCACAACCTAAAGAACACCAGACACTATCAGATCCTGACAGAGAAAGGAAACATCCATATTAGAGAATCTTAGGGAATCATGGTTCTACCAAACATTTCTCTGGGACTTTCTAATCTCTTGAATTTTGAAAGAACAAATTTCTTTTGGTCAAAGACACTAATGTATGTCATTGTTTTTCGACAGCCTGAGAGAAACAATAAAAACATGAGCTGTTTAAACAAATTTAAAATGAATTTGTTTTTGTTTTTTTTTTTTTTTACTACTGCCCAAGTTGTTATATACTGAATTAGCAGTCTAAAGAAATGCTAATTAGAATTTTAGATCTACTTAATGAAAAGTTAAATTATCTGTGCAGAAAAGTAGAGAAATATATATACATACAAAGATAATTTGAATGGGACAGAAGGTTAAGTTAAAAAATAACATTATGAGGCTGTTGTACAGTCTAGTTGTGGAGTTCTTGGTCAGTATATATAAGGCTTTATAAACTATACATAGAGTCTGGGTTCGGACTCTAGCATACACTCCAAAAGATTGCATTTTAAAGTCAATCTTAAAACTGCAGAACTGAATTGTACCTGTAAGGTCTTCTGTTTTAATTTTGTTACTATATACCTGAAGTTTGGGAAGCCTGATTAAACTGATAATAGACATCTTCTTTATTAATAGGTCTTTTAGACATTCATAATAATTTAACTAAGACAATAGCAATGTTTGCATTAATGCTTGTTTCTGTGATTGCCAGTGGACTCTGATTCATTTACTTTCTTAAATAGTTATTCATAGTTTAATATTTATTTTATAAATAGGTGTGTGGACTGTATGTATTTACAACATGTGCATGCTAGAGCCCTTGGAACTCAGACAGATATGTCAGGTCTCCTGGAACTGGAGTTACAGGCAGTTGTGGATGCGGGAAACTGAACCCGGGTCCTGCAGAAGAACAGAAGGCCCTCCGAACCTCTGAAGCATTTGCTTACCCACATCAAAGAGGAATGCTTGGAACCAAACCTTGGTGTTTGGCAAGAGCACTGTGCTCTCTTAACCACTGAACTGTCTTCGCCTCTAAAATCTATTTGGTTTGTATTTAGACAAATACTTGGTAATTCAAATTTTAAAATAATTCTGTAGCATAAAAATGTTAGAGGAAAAAAAATGTTAGAGGAAATACTACATACCTCTAAGTGTATGTGTATGTGGAAAAGTGAAACAAGAATATTCAGTCAGATTTACTGACTATTTTCTTTTTCAGCATGCCTCTTGCAAAACGTGGTGGTAAAGGTTATCACAGGAGCAGATTTACACAAATGCCTATGGCAGTAAAGAGAAGACTTAAGTTGCTTCTTCTGTTGATTTATTTAATGAGGTTTTAGAGAAGAAGGCTTAACTTTCATCCTTTTACAGCCTTCCTGTTTTAAAATAAGGAAAAGTGTGAGCCAAGCCTCACGTCTGTGTCACCACCACAGGAGATTTTTTGTTTGTTTGTTTTGTTTTATTTTTCCATGTCCTGCTTTAAAAAACAAACAAACAAACAAAAACAAAAAAGAAACTCCTCAGTTGTTGACTCTCCATAAGTAATTTACATTATGCTACTGGGAGCAATTTTTTCACATAAATATTAGTCCTGAGAAAATTATGATAATTGATGGAAAGGAATAAAGACATATGCACACACAAACACACACACACTAACCGGTGAAGGGCAGAGAGAAACCGGTTCTAGAAACCTTAAACCAAGTTGAAAGAATGACACCTTCTAAAAATTTACACTATGTCTTATTTTAAACTTTTAAAAACACTTATTCATTTTTATTTATGTGTGCTCTATCTGCATGGACACCTGCAGGCCAGAAGAGGGATGATTGCATTGTAGTCAGTTGTGAACCACCATGTGTCTGCTGGGAACTGAAAACAGGACCTCTAGAAGAACAATGTCCTTAACCTCTGAGCCATCTCTCTAGGCCCCACAAAGTGTCATTTACAGTAAGGAGGGAAGTCTGCCACAAGTTGTGTTTATACTAAGGCACACACATAAAATCCACACCAATAGCTTGAAACAAATGAATGAATTAGATACACTGATGAGCTGTACCAGGTGTTCTTTGCTACAATGAGTTAATGGGATGGGGACGTACTGAGAAAAACAAGAGAAAGAACTCTCATTTCTGTTAAAAATCACCTAGATAATAAAGAAAGATATTACAGACATTAGATGACCTTTCAACATGGAGGAGCCAGTCCAAGAACAGCCACCTTCAAACATGGAGGCAAGACTGGAGTAAAGCAAGGAGTCTTTTATGCACCAAGCCAGAAAAAGTAGAAGTGAAATCTGAGGTGGCTTTGAGACGTTTTTAAAGGATGTAATACGTGTGAGAGCGGTAGTGAGGAATTCTTACTCATTATGGCTCAAATTGAGGCTCCGAGAAAAGCAAACGACAAGAGTACAAGACTAAACAAACACCCAAACCAGAGGCTGCTACCGAGTAAAGTCCACTTTCCGCTCTGCTGTGTTGACTGAGTCACTGTTAATCATTGTTCCCCTGGAGGAGAGCGTGTGCAGAGCACTTCGAAGATAAGAACCGTGTTGGCACTCTTTGAAGCAGGCAGTCTAGTGAGCAGTTCCTCTGTTAATTTGCCACAGCAGGATTCGAAGAAGTCGGGAAAAACAAACCAAACGGAGAGGAAAGAAAACTGAGGTAGGAGAAAGGTGAAGCAGGAGGTGTTTATTGTGCTGCGTGGGTGCCATCAGCACCACCATCCGAAAAACACATGAAGGGATCACTAACCTTGTTTGTCAGACTCCTGTTCCTTTTTTTCCCCCATGAGATACCATGGCTCCAGATGAGAAATAAAATTACATTTGCCCATCTCCAGAAACGCTTTTACATTAGACTTGATGTCGACGCCATGCTTTTTCAGGGATCATATAATTTAGTGTTTTTTTTTTTTTTAATTTTATCTGAATGTTTGAAAAGTAGCAGATTGATTCTTTTTTTCGAGTTAGAAATCCATTAGCTACCCCAAATAACTGTTGCTTTAGTAATAATTTTATACCAAAGACAAAAATCCAAAATACATATTTAAAAAAAAAAAAAATGTGGGCGTGTGTCTAAAACAGGAAAAGCCACAGGAATCAGAATAAAATCAAGTGCGAGATCAGGTTGCTTGTTAACTCCAAAACAGTATTCACTGATCACTGGTCTGCAGTATAGCAAACATGACTGGCTCCTCTCTCAAGGACACCCCTGGATTTTATTTCCTTATCCCTAAAATTGCAACGTTGGAATAATGACCTTGGAAATTTCTCCCCCAAAACTTTAACTAAGTGTTCTATTACACATTTTGAACAGGTGGAAGATGTTTCCAAGTATTCATCTCCGTAATCTATAGCTGGGTCTTAGGCCATCATTGTGTCTAGCTTCAGATTCTATTGAGAATGTTTCTGTGAGTGGTATGCTATGAAGTAGTGTGTATTTTGATGCTCTGGTCTTGTTACATGTTATCAATCCCACTGATCGTGTATTGTGTTCTAGTTTGCTTGTTGTGTGTGAATGGTGTGTGTGCACATATATTCATGCATATGCATATATGTGTTATATGCATGATTACTAACATATATTCCTATTCCCTCACATGCAAGAGCCAAAGAAGGACAAAGGATGTCTTTTCTGAGTCATGTTTTGCATACTTCCTTTGATACAGGTTTACTTGATGAGCCCAAAGCTCACTACTACAAGATAGCTTCATGCTTGTCTGTCTCTGTCTCCTGACACTAGTAGTGTTGTAGCCACATGTATCCACACTTGCTTCTTATGTGAGTGCCAGAGATTTAAACTCAGTTCCTTACACTTGTTTATAGTGACACGATCCAAATGTTAACAGAGTCTCTGTCAACCTAAGCATTTATATTACGACAGGTCTTCGCTCTTCATAGCAAATTCATCACATTCTTTCAGAAATATACATCCATCTCATGGTAAAGTCAGAACCATAATTATGAGAATTTATCCCTAAACACTAATTGGGATACAGAAACCCCATAAAGATGCTGGAATAAAAATCGTGAGGTGAAAGGATTCGTGCAGTTTAGTGCTCATATACATTTCTGCTGCTGTCGACCATTTTAACAAACACTTCATTTGACTGTTGACAATTATAATTAATCATGAGGAAGGCAGTCTCTTACAATCAGTTCATACTTGAAATGGGTGGTGACCCAGCAGAGTTTTATCTCCCTATTGTAGTCTTGTGCTTGCTCCCTTACCAGGTGCCTCCTAAGAAGTAGAGCTGTAAACCACCCAAGTCAAAGCAGCAGTGGGGGAAATGCCTGTCAAGGAATGATGCAGAGATTTATGGAGGCGTCTTTGGCAAGTGCTCTGGGGATTGGTACTTGTTAATCCCCAAAGCCAAGACTACAAGACTTTCCATCATGACCATACTGACCCACTCCATGCCTGCTCACTACAAATGATGCCACCCAGGAGACATTTTCTAGGACACTTGTAAAGATTCCTTGTGGTCATTTGCATTTCAAAAGAAATTCACATAAATCAAGGATCTTTTGTCTGACCTTATGCCATCCCTCTTTTTGTTCAGCATGGAGCAATTTGTCTGTTCTTGGAGAAAGTTGTTAGATATCATGTTAACTAAATTTCCAAGCCACTGTAGAACATAATGTTGGTTTTGCCCTGAACAATAAATTCATATTTAAATGAGTTTCACCCAAGAAATTGCAACGTTTCCACAAATTTAATTACTGTTGTCATTGAGGAAATATTCTATTATAGCTTGTTTGCAAGGTCAGGCATGATAATGGAAGTCTTATAAAAAGAGACAATTTGAGATGAGGACACAATCTGATGGGAGGCTTAAATCTGTCTTAGAAAATAGAAGTCCAAACTAATAACTAACACTAAGGAGGCAAGGGACATTAGTTGACATCAGATGTGACATAACAATAATTTAAAGAGGTAGCTTTTCATTTCACCAAAACACTTGTGCTTCAAGTTTATGGCTTCTTTCTCTAGATCCAACTACAGCACATACTGAGGCTGGTGGGCATCGTCCTATCTCCTGGTGACATGCTTTTTACAGGAGCCACACTAAATTAATTTGCTCCCAAACAGCAGACTTTCTGTCAAAAACATATTTTTTTTTTCTTCTAACAGGCAAAAAAGGTGAAGAAAAGTCACCACACCAATATGCCAGTGTCATCTCTTTCTGAGGTTCCTGTATTCCAACATCTGCCTGTCTTCCCCTTGCAACATGGTGTAAATTCACAAGTTCAAAACAAAACCATAAATTTGGAGACAAAAGTAAACATAAAGCAAGTTCCCAGAGAGTAATGTAGGATTAAAGTTCTAGAAAGAAGATTTAAATTAATTTTCTCTCTTCAGTTGTGTCATTATTATTCTAAATGCTGTGCAGGATGAATTATCAGTATCCAGATTCCAACATTTAACTCAGTTTATCAGCATAGAATTCAAAGTCTTTATCTCTCTCTCTCTCTCTCTCTCTCTCTCTCTCTCTTCTCAATGCCATTGATTCTATTAATTTATAATTCTGGCTTTAATTTCAGGTTCATCATTCTCACTGAAAGGTGGATTGTGGCATTATATATGCTACTTATTCATATCATCAATGGCTATTTCCAGCATGATATGTCATTTGTCTACAGTCAGTGAAAGAACGCACTCCTATATTAAAAAAGATAGCATAGGGGTATTTATAGATACAGTATGAAACTGTAACAGAATGTACTGATAAAATCAAGGTAAATAGATTCTGAGAACAGTGGGATACGTGGGATAGAAGATTGCTACTCCAACCAAGGACTGTGCAAGAACCAAGAACCCCTGAACAGATGTAGCTCATGGCAGCTCAGTCTCCAAGTGTGTACCCTAGTAAGGGAACAGGGGCTGTCTCTGAAATGAAGTCAGTGGCTGGCTCTTTGATCACCTCCCCCTGAGGGCTGAGCAGCTTTGCCAGGCCACAGAGGAAGACAATGCAGCCATTCTTGATGGGACCTTATAGGCTAGAGTCAGAGGGAAGGGGAGGAGGACTTCCCCTATCAGTGGACTTGGGGAGAAAAGGAAGGAAGGGTTGGGAGGGAATGAGGGGGAGGGCTATAGATGGGATACAAAATGAATAAATTGTAAATAATTAAAAAATAAATTAAATATAGAAAGAAAGAGGGATGGCTGCCAGAGCAAGGAGAAAGAATGTGGATGATAGTTGAATGGTCACAGTTTCAGCTGTTGGTGATAAGGAAGTTCCTGGGGATGGGTTAATAGTGACAGGTGTGTAACAAAGCACAAGTGCTGATTGCAAATGTATTCATGCACTTTTTTTTTTTCATGCTTTCTCCATGTAGCTGTTCTGGACTTGCTTTGTAGAACAGGCTGGCCTTCAACAGAGATCCACCTGCCTCTGCTTCTCCAGTGCTGAGGATTACAGGTGTGTGCCACTGTACCTGGCTGGAATTGACACTTTTTAAAAGGATAAATTTAGTGCAACTTCCAACAGCATAAAATTAGGGCAGCTCCTCTGACTTTTTACAGATGCTTAAATACTAACAATCCTAAGGAAAAGAGCTGCAGAACATTCTCAGCACATCATTGCAAACAGTTCACATTTTTCTATATTTAGCTTTTGTCTACTTAATACTTAAACATAGTATTTTGGTGATTTTTTTTTTTAATTTAAAGCTTAGACATGATATTTTACTTAAAATTTCTTTGTTGTTGGGCATTAAGTCTACCTCCAGGATTGTTTAATTGTTTTGTTGCCTGACGCAAACAATACTGGCTGGAGAATACTGTTCCATAAAACATTGTTCAGATTTTTCATTGCTTATTAGCATTTAAGTATTTGCTTAATTAGATTGACTTACTAACTTAAAAGACATGCACACTGTTAAAGTTTTAAACATGCATTGTAAAAATGTTTCTGAGCAAAACAACAAAAAATATTTACACTCTCACCAGCTGGGAATATGTGCTTCTGCTTCATGAAGGCTTTTATGTTTATGAATTTTCTCCCTTACAGATATTAGATACATTATTTAGCGTTCAGTTTTACTGCTTTGCTTGTGCCTTTGGTTTTATATTTAACTGTAAAATCAAGATACATTTTCCAATTTAGTACAAGATACGATGAGTGTCTAAATTATTTTTGCCAAAACTCTCCTCAGTGTTCATTTCTTAAATAATTTTCCCTAGTCTTCCTTCAAAAACAGCAGAGCCTCTTTAATAGTTTTAAGTAGATGAAAGTCATAATGGCTAGAAGCAATTATTGTGCCCAACTGTGCTGCAGTAAGCATTTTTTATAACAGCACCTCATTTGAACTTGATGAAGACCCTTTGAAACCTCATTGTCAAGGCTCCGCCACACCTAGTGCACATCACCAAGTCAAACAGCTACAAATGTTAGAGTTGTGCTTCAAACCCAAATCTGTCTGGAGATAGGTTCTAAAATTTTAACCTCAGAAAGCAATGTGGTAGCTAACTAGTCTCTTTATGGTTCTTAGACCCAAGTTTTGGTGGCACTATTGAGGTAAATGGTTTCAATTTTCTTAGTTATAAATGCTTGCAAAAAAGGGAGGGTTCTTTCAATATTTATCTGAAGTTAAATTGTTCAAATCCAGAAGAAGAAGGATTCCTGACTTTGGTTCACCTTATTTTTCATTTCTTCTCTTAGAATCTTCCCCTAAAACTTTTCCTTTCCATTTCCTTGAAGATCCATCCAAGTGTCCTGGCGTCTAGCTCAGACAGAAGTCTCTATGTTCTTTAATACTTATGATTGTGATACTCCTACAATCAATTGAATTGTGTTTCTCTCAGGGATTCACATGTTGAAATATAATCCCTAAGGTGATGGTATCAATAGTGTAGGCCTCTGAAAGTTGATTAGATCTGAGGATAGAGACCTCAGGACTGAGATTTATAAAGCTTTATAAAAGAGAACCCTGTGAGGTCTGCTTTCTCTCTTATATCTTGTGAGAACACAGCTAGCAGTTGTTATCTGTACAAACATAAATTTGTATCGTTGGCTATACAAATTTGTTAGCCAACAAGTCTGCTGGAACTTTGATTTGAGATTTGATAGTCTCCAAAACTGTAAGCAGTGGGCTCTTGTTGTTTGTAATCTACCTGGCTTATAATATTTTGACATAATAAAGAGAATGAACTATGCAAACTCATTTTACTTTTATAGTAATTTATTTGTCAGTCTAGTAGAGGGCCATTGCTATGAAAGTTGATCCTTGTGTGGGTTCTGGAAGATGGAAGAATGCACTAACTGAACTACAACAACTGGAGAAGGGGTGAGGCTGTATCATAGACAGGCAGAGATGCTTTTCCATGACAATCCATTGGTGGACAATCACTTCTGACCACACAATTATGTAGTGTCAAGAGATGAAGCCAGAATTTACTTATACTTTAAGAAATCTCTTTAAGAAATTTACTGTGTATGAAAACAAAACAAAACAAAACTCTTGGAATTCCAGTGCTGGGAGTGGGACACAGATTCCTGTGGCTTTCTCACCACTCCACATAGCCAAGACAATGCACAGCAGATTTAATGAGAGACCTTATCAGAAAAATTAAGGTGGAAAGAGCTAGAAGAAGATGCTCAACATCAACCCCTCGCTTCTACATGGATGCATCTGCACAGGTAAAAGCCTGCACAAACATGAAAACAACATGGAAACACTGCATTGAGTTGCTGAAAGTTACTGATAAAATGGCTTGATATCATTTCTGAATTGATAAAAGACTTTATTAAATTTAACTTCCCTGTCAAATATACCATATTAAGTTTTTTTCTATATGAAAGCAATATTTGAGATACGAGGTAGATTTTTAAATAAAAAAAAAAACAAATAAAAATGCTAGAATATGGTGCTTTATATCTAAATTATCTCATGATATTGTTTACACTTATATTCAAGGTATAGCTCATAAAAACAGAAAAAAAGTTATTGAAAAGGTTTGTTAAATACAACAGGTACTTAATAATAAATATCCAAAGATTATAGTTTTCTAATTTCTTTTCTAATTGATGCATCTCATTTTTCTTCCCCGCACTTGTTTAAGTAAATGTTTTATATAAGACTAAGAGGATGTTTTCTGGAAGATAAAATAGAATACAGCATAAACATATTTGTTTGTTTGTTTGTTTTAACATCAGCAACTCTCAAGCATGCTTCTTGAACCGGCTCTGTGAAAATTATTATGAAAGAAAAGCAGAGCTGATCTCTTTCTGATATGCTTTAATTTCTTGGGTCCTGAAAGCTATTTGCTGCTATCTCTGATGAGGTCAAATCAGCTCTTCATAAATCAGGGTTACTTCTCCCATCTATTTGCTTTATCCTCTTTTCACGGTGAGGTTTTGTGTTGTGGTTGTTTTGTTTTGATCTCATTTCCTTTGAATTTAGAAGACGCAGGGTCATGGACTCAGAGGCTGATTATTTTTCCACTTCACAGTTTCTGAAATTAAATACAAAGTCCAAGGCAGTCTTGGAGTACTTACAATCTAGCAGCCTTCCGCTTCGCTTTCTGGGCTTACGCTATTTTTATTTTACTTGAAAATTCTAGACAAAACACAGATTTCCTGGTTTGATAAGAATATGTATTAAGATCACTGTATTCTGCTTGTGAAGTATAGCAGATTAATTAAGATTGGCATCTCATCTTGATGAAGGCCCGGGGGTGACTGAAAAGTCTCCCCCAAAACCACACAGCTGATATAAGGTCCCAAGTCTAGTTATGTATTGTAGTATATAAAACTTTCTTCATAAAGAAATGTAGAGTAATATTCACGCTTGCGGATTTCACATCCACGTGAAGGTTCTGCTGTGATCGGCATCACTGCTCACTCTATATTCCTGGTATCTGAGCACACGAGGAAGCATGCTGTCAAAGAAGGGCAGAGGGTTACTGGGAAGTAGGGCCAGCTCCCCACCGTAAGGCTCCTGGCCCTGTGCAAAAGGCATAGTCTTCTCAGGTTTCTCACATACTCATGAAGACAACCACAGCAAGAAATAGAAGCTGAATTAGGTTACAGCACATGGAACTTCATCTATAGAATACAAAGTTCAAATGCTCATAGTTTGGGTTTTAAATGCATAGAAAGATAGTGAAAGTGTCACTCTTTACAGTCAATAGAGAACATTTAAAAAAAAATTTAAATCCATATATCCATCCATGGATTTAACTCACTGGAGTAGTATCTCATGAAGAAAACAAATGAAAGTATGAAGAGGTAAAAATTCTGTGGTGGAAAACCACCTATGAACACTTCCACAACTAAAGGGCAGAACGGATCACAGAAAATGAGTAGTCATCTTTCCAGAGGATGGGCATGCTATGCAAAGGTAG